CAAGGAGATTATGATAATTCTGAGTGAAGAAGATGACCAAAAATTTGGTGGTAGGCAGGCTTTTCCTTATTCTGAAATACTTAAGAAATTACTTTTTGGCTTACATGATCAATTTGTAACTTCTTGAACAATTCTCTCACCAGAGTCTGTCTAAACCTGGGGACAGAGGCACAGAGGGTGATTTGATTTAAGTGTTAGACTGAATTTTTTTGCCACTGTTCAGAGGTTTAAGGATTTAATACTGGGGTCTTTGAACTTCAGAGTACAAAAGAAGGAGAACTACCTTAAAAACAGTCTGATTACTTAGTTGCATCTTTCATAGTATCATATATTATCAAAAGTACTGTTCTTTTGCTTATTTTTGTGATAAAAAAACATTTACCACATCAATCATTTTAAGTATACAGTTCAGTACTTTTTGTTTTTTCCTTTTATTGCTTACAATGGTAATTTAAAAAGCTAAATTATTTCAGTTATTTGAAAATAGGTCAAATTTATATAAATAACAGAACATATATGGATGATTTATTTATATTCTAAATAATAGCCTTTTTTTCTTTCAAGACCCTTTAAAATAGTGTTGACAGCTGTCTCTGATTTAAACCATATTAGGTGACATAAGAATTGTTTTCTTTTTAGGAACAAATGACTCCTAACTTAATCTGTAGTCCCATTCATAAGGAAATCTTTAAAAAAATTGTATTTTGTAATTCTTTCTGCTAATTAGTTATTGTATTGATGTAAAATATAATTTCAAAAAATATCTCTTCTGTATGAAGCCTTTGTACCATCTGTTTTAAAGTGATGAGGAAATAAAAAAATATTCAGGTGTTTAATAGAGCTGTTTTTTGAGTTAGGACCTGGGCATTTTAAGGAGAATCCCTTCAGTTTTGACCCCTTTTCATCCACTCTAAGCAAGTACCTGGATGCCCTGGACTGCTCCTTTTCCCTTACCCGTCAGAGCCTCTGCCGCCCGCTCTGCTTTGGACTTGAAGCCGGCGACTGGCATGCCTGATGGTGGGGCGGTCGTGGTCATATGGGCATTTGTAAGTTAACCACTATATGAAACAATGCTGCTTTTCAGAGTTTTTTCAAAGCACAATAGATTTTTGAAGATTCAGGTAACTGAAAAATTTTCAACATTTGCTTTTAAAAGTGTTTTGGAAAGGCTGAAACAAAATGAAAAATATAAAACTAATCATTTTGCTTTGAAAAATTATACACAGGTGTTCGTTTACTGTTTGTAATCCACAGTTTATATAATTACAGTTATAACACTTAAACTTGAAGGAAAAAAATCTTTGTTATAATTTATCTGAAGGATTCTGGCTTCTGCCATATCTTTGTACATTCCAACAAAGTTATGTGGAATGTTTGTGAGTTAATTTCTAAACCTTCAAAATGTACTGCCAATGAAGACTGTTAAGACAAAACACACTTTTTTGGAGGGGGATACAAATTGTTAAGAAAGTTTTCTGGTAATTTGTGAGTAATGAAAAGCAAGTTTGTACAATTTTTTAATAATAAATTCCTATTTTGAAAAAATGCTAAAGTCTCATTATTATAAAATTCTTATAAAAATTTTTACCAGCTATATTTGTACCATAGTAACAAGACATATGATAGTTTCCTAGCTATAAAGACAAAATTATTTAATTAGAAAAATAATTATTTGAAAAATCAAATAATTAATAGTTTAAGCATAAATGATAGGAAATGGAGGAAATCTAGGCAGGCTGCTGTCTTTAATGGATTAATTTGTGGTAATGTCATTAGAACTTCAGGTGTGTCAAACTGAAGAAAAGTAGGTAATACTACTGGAAACTTATACTGCTCTTTATATGTCTTGTTTCTGATAACCTGTTACAGGTTAACTGCCAGGTTGCCAAACCACAGCAGCTAACCAATGCTACAGACCAGGTGAGTTCTGCAGAAGATGGGGCAGTAAACTGATTCTGACAAAGCAGTGGCTAGAATATTAGACCAGGAATGGACTTTAGAAATCATATCTCACCCCTTTACTTTATACATGAGAAAATATTTTTTAAAGATTTTATTTATTTTTAGAGAGATGGGAAGAGTGGGAAAAAGAGAAGGAGGGAAACACTGATGTGTGAGAGAGATTGATTGGTTGCCTCCCGCACACCCTCACTGGGGACCTGGCCAATTCAGGCAGGGGGCCTGACTGGGAATCGAACCAGCGACTTTTATTTTGAAGGCCAGCACTCAGTCCATTGACCCACAACAGCCACAGCTATACCAGAGGAAATTCATGATGGAGTCAATTGTATGAAGAAGTCACAGTTATAAAAGAGTGCCCAGACCAAAATTTGGGATGCCTGACTCCCTTTGCAAATGTGCTTTATACTTTATTGTACTGAAAATGTAAGTCACTGATTATTTTCAATTTTTGTCTGGCAAATTGGTAGGAAGTATCTAATGTTAATATTGCCATGGTCTCTTCTTTGGAGGAGTTACAATTTTACACAGTGAAGACAAGTTTTTCCAAGTTTATTCTCTGAGGCCACAGACCATTTCAAAGAATATAATACTTAAAAATTCTCACTATCCATACATATTTATCTCTATAGCAGCATTTGCATAGAAGGTATTGGTATAAAGTTTACTCCTTGATGGTGTATTTGATACTTGTTACTGAATTTCATTAAAACCCCACAATTCTGGGCTCTGATCTTAGATCTGAGCTTTCCCCAAGAGCTTTTGCTGTGGACTGAATTGTGTCCTCCTGTTGGGAACCGCCCTGACTGGTATCAGAAGCTGAAACCCCCGCCTAGGCTAAGGCTAAGGGAATGCCCTTGGAACCCTAAGCCAGCAAGGAGACAAAAGCTTATCTTCCTGGCAGGAATGTTGCTTCTGCTGCTTTATTCATAACTGAACCCCAAAAAGCTTGGTCGGTTAGCCAAAGACGGGTAAGATTCCCCACGGGGAGAACGACCTAAGACAGGCACGATCACTTTGGGAGGCCCCCCAAAAGAAGGACTTGGGGGGCTGCAGCAAAAGGGGGTGATGGACCCTCACTCCTCGGCTTTGACATAGCCTGAGTTCTCAGCATCTGGGAAAAAAAAACCTCCTTGTCTCCCAGTTGCCTTAGTTCCCTTGCTCCACCTAAGCCTGAAACAATGACAGGGTGGTGCAGCTCGGTACTGAGAAGTGCGGATTCCCCAGGGTGATCAGGCCTAAGAAAGAACATGTAAATTACTGTGAAACCTTCTTTGTTTAGAATGCTCTCAGTTGAATGAGAAGGGTCTCAGGAGGAAGTTATTTTGTTCCTCAGTCTTACAGCTCTTTGACCCCCAACTCAATAGACTGTCAGAGTTCTTTGTTTTCTATAGTTCCTTACTTCTCCCTAATGAGTACTGTACTTTACCTGAATTATTATGCAGAATGAGCCCTAATAAAAGCAGGTATGGACGGTAAATCGGCGCGCTCCCCACTAGGGGGGGTGGCCATTCTGTCCCTACTTCCCCACAGAAACTAGTTTGTCTCTGTGCATGTGTGTTTTTTCTCGCGTGTTTATCGTCGAGCCATCCACAGTGTTCCGTGGTCACTGCTGGCCGGTGACCCACACGCAACATCCTCCTCCAAATTCATGTTGAAACCCTAACCCCCCTAGTACCTCAGAATGGACCATATGTGAGACAGGGCTTTAAAGAGGAAATGAAGTTAAAATGAGGGCATTGGGGTCTAATCTGACTACTGTCTTGGTAAGAAGAGATGAGAATGTGCGGTCACCAGGAGAAAGTCCTTGTGAGGACACAGCGGGGAGGCCACGTGCAAGCAGAGGACACAGAGGAAACCAACCTTGACCTTGGACCTCTAGCTTCCGGTGAGAAAAGTCAGTTTCTGTTTAAGCCATGGAGTCTCTGTTGTTTTGTGATGGCAGCCCTACCAAATGAATACGCTTTACAAATCCTTTTCCCTGACTGTTGATTGCAAGATCTCTGGACAGTTTGCCCATTGTGTCCTCAAGGACCACTCTTTATTGAATGGAGGTGGAAGGGGTTCTATCTCACCAAGGGAGTATGGATACATAATGGGAGTAAGAACTGAGCCCTGGGGCTCTCTAATGTTAAGTTGGAGAAAAAAAGGAACAAAAGAATTTGAGGTGCAGCCAGTGAGGTACAAAGAGAATGTCCCTTCAAATTTCAATTAGAAATTATTATTCTCTGACAAAGATAGTGGTCACCAAAAATTAAGTTCTGGATTTATACTACATCATCCTTGAGGCTATTTAGAAATACAGAATTTGGGAAGTCACCTTGATAATAAACATCAAAGAATGTTGCTTTGAGCAGAAAGCATTTCATCTTTGAGGTTGTATATAACCGATTTTTTAGAATTGCATTCCCTACATTAAGGTGAAAACTAAAGTGGGTAGATGACACATGAAAGATGTGTTTGTTTCCTAGGGCTGCTATATATTCTCACTGGCTGGGCAGCTTACAGAAATTTATTCTCTCAGTTCTGAAAGGCGAGAAGACCAGGAGTCTGAAATCAATCAGGGTTGGTTCCTTCTGGGGAGTCTGAGGAAGACTTCATTCCATGCCGCTCTCCTAGCCTCTGGCGGCGCCTCATAATCCTTGGGGTTCCCTGACTTGCCCAACTCTCTGCATCTCTTCATGGCTTTTACCTTGTGTCCCTCCATTTCAAATCTCTTACAAAAACGTGAGTCATTGGGTTTAGGGCCTATCCCAAGGTCCTCCCAACTCTGCAAAGACTTTATTTGCAAATAGGGTCACGTTAGTAGAGAAGGTTAGAACCTGAATATGGTTTTTTTTTGGGGGGGGGGGCGGGCGGTACACACTCTTAAACCCACCACAGAAAATAAAGGGGCTTTCAGGATCAATAACAAGTTGATGACCAATTCCTCAAATAGATATACAAGCTGTGGCTAAGTACCAGCTTTGTGGTAAGCAGAGAGTACAGTCCTAAGAATAAATGTAAGTAAACATTGTTTTCAAATTAATCTGGAGAGCACACAAATTTTAACCACTCATCTTTATTGATAAAATAGGCTCCTATGCACTACATACCTCCAGACATAAATTTAAAAAAAGTACGGGATGGAAAACTTTCTATATAACAAAGTAAATGTCTTTAAATGCCAAGATCTTAAAATTATGTCCAAGTAAGAAGACTAAGAATAAATTAACTCAACTTATTTGTTTACAAAAATAATTATTTATCAAGTAATATTTCATAATAGAGCTGCCTCAATGAACTGCCTCAGACTTAATCTCAATTGTGTAGCATATTTTCTTTCATTCTAACTTGGGATAAAAACTATATGAATGAATGTGCCATCAAATTAAGGGGTACTTTCCCAAAAACAAATAGAAAATTTAAAAAATAAAAACTGTCATTTATTTATAAAACATTAAGGCCTCTGAATGAGAACAGAAGTCAATTTAACGTTTGGGTCCACAGCCCTTTTCTATTCAGTCAGCCCCATCAGCCCCACTTACCCCAAACTTAAGATAGAAAAATTCTGAAAAGTAGTTTTAAATTTTACCAATCTATGAAATTATACATAAAAATTGCCACGTAAATATTTAACAAATTTATACTCAAAAGTAAATTTTCTATTGTGCTAATTTTCATAGGTACTTAATATAAATGAGCATAATATATTTGGTCATATCTGACACTCTTATCCTTTTATTTTGTAATCACCACAAAAGAATAAAAATTTAGATTTCAACTGATGTTAAAGCACACTTCTATTTTTGGTGGCTTTAAAGTTTACATATACTGGATATACATTTTATAGAAAAAATAAAACAAATACTTCTAACTCCATTGATTTTTTGGTCCCTCTTTAGCTGAAAGGTTGTAAGAAAAATCTTATCGGTTGTGAGGACCAGGTGGTGCTTAAGAACAGATCCAGAAACATTTAAAAAAATTTTAATGTACCTTTTCTTCTCTTAATAGTTACTTTTTTAAAAGGGCTTTATGAGGCAGAGGATTCCCCAATATACTTTGAAATAACCATACCTAGCTAGCTTTATCAGACATTTCAACTCTGGTAGCCAAATGAGCTCCATAATATCCTTAAAGATCAACCAGAGAAGAGAAAAATCTCATCTTTGTTACTGGTTTAGAACCAAAACTTATTCTTTCAAAGGAGTAGTTTAACCTACTCATTACATCTCTTATAAGATCTTTCTTAGAAAGTAGTATTCCTTGTCTTTCATTCCTGAAAAGCTATTTCATATGCTTAGCAATTATGGACAATTGTTTGCTGAGTATTAACTATGGTAAATTAGTTAAAATTAAATTACCTCTTTTGTTTATGGTGCATATAAAACATTCCCACAGCTTTTCAAACTGAATTTTCTTTGACAAAAATTTAAATTAATGGGAAGTTAGGCAATCAATGCTGAAGTTTCATGGTACATAAGCTATTTGTTAACTTTGACACCAAACAGGGAGGAAAAAATTTAGTATGACTATCTTCCATTCACCAAACTGTGAAAAAATCTGTATGTTAAAATTGGAATAATTTCATGAGTTCCAAAATATTTATTGGGAATATTCCTGTTTATCCAAGTACCATCCAGAAAGCCAACAGCACTACTGAAAGCTCTTGATATGTTCAGCAGTCATTGTGAAAATCTTCAATATGTTCAGCAATTAACAAAATCTTAGTTTCTACTTTTCAATTGTATTTTGGAATAAAGTCTATGACCATGAACTATGCATTTTGTGTTGCTATCTCTTAAAAATGTCATTGCCAGGGCACTGTACACTGTACATATTATAGAAAATAAAAGGGTAGCTTGAGGTCGATTTTTCCGTAATTCATTCACTTTAGCAGGCCAGTCCCGGGGATTGTGTGGAGCCTTGTAAGAAGCTCACAGCCTCTTCAGCTCTTCCTTAGACTCAGGTCACTAGTGGTCACTAATGCTGACAAAGACGTACTTTCTGATACATCATCTTTCCTTAGGTTCAAAAATGATTCTCGAGTTATTTGAAGGATCTCTCTCAAGCCTTTGTTTTCTTGCTATAAGAAGACAAAAACAAAGATGCAGTCACCAAGGTAGCTACAAGAGTACCAACGTATCTTAAGAAAAGCCAAACATATGACAAATAGAAAGCAAGTTCTGTAAGTGACAGGCACTAAATGATATATGCAGTTGTAGTTGACAACTTGAATCCAGAGAACACATTTTTAAAGAGGTAGGATCCTGTGTTCAAGAAGTCTTCCACCCATGCAAAGTCTTCTTTATGCAGCTGTAATTGTAGATGGAACCTCAGCAATTGCCTTATTTTACAATCACAGTATAGATGAAGAAAATAACATCTAGATTTATATTGTCATAAACTCAGAAAGTTTGTAAATAATACCCTGGGACTATAACCTATTAGTACTTTAATTACTTTCCATGATGCAAGAAACGTAACCCGAGCCATCTGGTTTGCTTTCCTTACTGGGATTCAGCAGCAGCAGGGCTGGTTGAGTACATTGTAATGTTTTTAAAGAAGGAAAATAAGTAACCAAATCTAGCACTGGAAAACAACTTTACCTTTTTTTTTTTTTTCTAGTTACTGGAAGAAATTTGCAGACATTTAAAAATTGCCCTGGCTAGTGTGGCTTAGTAGATGGAATGTCAGCCTGCAAACCAAAAGGTCGCAGGTTTGATTCCCAGTCAGGGCACATGTCTGGGTTGAGGCACCAGGTCCCCAGTAGGGGCACATGGGAGGCCACCACACACTGATATTTCTCTCCCTCTCTTTCACTCTCCCTTCTCCTCTCTCTAAAAATCAGTGAAATCTTTAAAAAAGTAACTTCAACAATTTATTCTCTACCACTGTCTTTGGTTTTTCTTTCTAAGTTTCAATGGTATGAGGCAGGGATGTTCAAACTACAGCCTGGCTTGAGGTCTGCTATTGTAAATTAAGTTTTACCATAAATTTTGCATTACAATGGCCTAGTTGAGTCTACAGTAGAGACTGTCTGGTTTCTGAAACCTAAAGACTCACTATCTGGCACTTAAAAAGTTTGCTTAATCCTGTTACAAAGAATGAGAAAACCTTGCATGGCTTAGAGAGAGAAATAATTTTTGGCCCTCTGACCATTTTCTCCACTATGATTTCAAAATGTAGCTTTTAAAGCATAAAAGCCTATTCTACTGATTTGGATTACTCGACAATGATTTATGCTTTACTACACAAAATAAAGGACCATACTGTACAGGATATATTTTCTGGCATAAATCTCTGTATGAGTTTTCACCCATATTTACAATTTAAAACTTACTTCCAACTGAAATATTCGTTCCTGTTCCTTACAACCCTGTTGCTCATCAATTTCAATGGCTTTCCTCATCACTGCTGCCATTTCAGTTATCTGGTCAACATGTGCTTGCAATTCCTGGAACAAAGAGTTGGGAGTTACAGATTAGTGAAATGCTGTATTATTTTTATTTTGGGATCCTCTTCTTTTCATCAAATCTGCATTGCCGCTTAATATGGCTATAATACTCATATGTTGCCATTTAATATGACTTACTTTATCAAGCAGATATTACAAAAAGCTGACCGACCACAATTGTGCTTTTGAAATTAGACTGCTGTCGGGACTAGAATTAAGGATAAGCAGAACAATTTAACTCATCTACTGGTTAACAAGAGTACTCATATTTCACATTCTCACTACAAATGATCAGCAACTTTTTCTTTTTTTTTTGCAACTACCTATACTATTGATCAAAGTAATGGGAAAGATAAAAGTTTATGGCATTCATTCTCTTTCCCCCAAAGATTTCATGATTTATAAATATTTTCTGTATTACCCATGCCTAAAAATTTATCTCAATCCAATATAGAACCTTCTAAATTATTAATCCTCTTTGACAGCAGAAACTGTACCTTATTTATATTTGCTTATTAGTGTTCAGTACATAATGCATAATAAATATCGATAAAATGATATTTATCGATAAAAAGCAGAGTTCTGCTTTTAAGTATTAAAATAATAAATAGCCTCTTTGCAAACTGTTCAAAATATAATTTCAGTATAAAATAGACATCCACAATTTTTTTGGTGCAACAGTAACAAATTTCTTCAATTGCACTCACTGTTTTTGCACACCTACAGTGTGTCAGGCACTGTGCTAGGTAACAGGAATATGAATGCTGTGGAGCCACGTTCCCTGATTTCAAGGAGCTTACAGTCAAGTGAAAGATACAGACAAAACATTTAAAATCAACGTAAGCTTGAGAGTAATAATTTTTTAAACGAAATGCTTCTATAGACTTATTCACTGTCAATTGAGGGTTATTTTACTATATTAATAAGTACAGAAGTTAAAAACAAAAGTTAACAGTTCCCCAAGTAAACATGAAGTCTCTTAAATAGTTGTGCATTTTCTATTTGTAGAAAGGGTTTGAACAGGACCCCCTAAAACCTAGAAAACTAGTAAGCCATGGAAGAAAGGAGATGGAGAACAAATAGGAGTATCTTTTGCAAATACACATTTAATACCTTCTTAAGCAACAAAAATGCAGGTCCTTATAGTATTTTAATGGGGAAACCTGTACAATGCTAGTACACAGAAAAGGCAAAATAAAGGACTAATCGACACTGTCCAATATGGCACTATTTAAATTTACATTAATTAAAATCAAATACAGTCTAAAGAAATGAGTGGTTCAGCCCCTTAGTTGCACTGGTGACAATGCAAGCACTCGACACTGCAGGTGGTGGTTGTCTGCACACTGGGCGGCACAGATAAGAGCACCTCTGCTGCCCCAGAGAGCACTGCTCCAAGGCCCCGGATCGGATGATGGCAGCGAGAGTGGTATCAAGACTAACATCTGCCATACTCTGCAAAATTATTAAAATCCCTCCCCGTATAAAGGGAGCATATAATGTTTAAAAGTCAGTTAAAGACAGATAACTACAGACACAAACTGAGAAACAATAATGAGTAAACATTTGGAATACAAACAGCTTTCTCAGTTTATGAGTTTTTGTATCCTATGGGACTGACCTAGGTAAAAAACTACGCAGGAAGTAAATAATTCTTTGCCTTTAAAATGGAAGAAAACAAGATACCAACACTTTTTTCAGAACTGAGTCTATTCTAATAAAATCATTGAGGGAAAAAATAAAACAAAACAATTTTTTGAACAGAACAGCACTTTTACAGGCCCAGTTCATGGATGGTCCACTTATTACAATAAACTCTTTGGAGAAATATCATAGATCTTTTAATGGGCACAAAAGGTCAAGACCTGTGCTTTCAAGACTCTTAAAGGCAAGGAGTGTCAGCAAAATAATCCTCGAACTGTCTTGACATGCCTTTTTCACTTGTCACCTTTGTTTAGGTTTATTTCAACTTAGGTCAATAAAGGCCAGCCACAAGTAAGTTTGGGGAAAAAAAAGTTAAGACACAATGGAGAGTATACAGCTACACTTAATAACACTTAAACAAAGACATTTCAATTTTTGGTAAACTCAAACGAAAGGACCGAAAACTATCAAAATCTGAATTAAAACAGTTCATTTAATAATTTGATTGAACAGCCCTGGCCAGGAAGCTCAGCTGGTTAGAGTGTCGGCCCAATACACCAAGGTTGCAGGTTTGATGCCCGGTCAGGGCACGTACAAGAAGCGACCAATGAATCCATGAATAAGTGGAATGGCAAATCGATGTTTTTTTTCCTCTCTCCCCCTTCCTCTCTCTCTCTAAAATCATTAATTAAAAATTAAAAAAATAATTTGATTGAACAAAATTTTTATGAAATCAGATTGAAATTACTACAGAGACCATGTCTTTGATGTCCAGAAAGAGAGTAACTGTTTCAAGTTTACTAAATTTGCAGCAGTAACTGGTAAGAGGACCCAGGGGAAAAGCCGGCCGGAACAGCCTCTAGAGCCTGCCCCTACCTAACAGGGCATGTGCGACACAACACGTGCAGGATTAATGACGGCCTTAAGTTTTCTGTATTTTTGCGTGGCTATCGAAAGCACAGCATTTTAAAGCAATTTCATTTGTTTGTTGATTTACTCTGGCATAAAAGAACTTTTTAAATGAACCCCCCTTCCATCCACACCCCCAAATGTGACTGTTTTATTTAGTGTACATTCTGATTTGCTTCCAAGTGTCTCCTCTCCAGTCCAGGCTGAGGTGCTTCAAGGATGTGTCGAGATGCATCAAGGAGGAATCCCTCGGAGTTGTTACGATGTACCATGTCAATCTGTAGTACAGAGTCATTATAATGTTAATACGGACATTATCCGTAATTTAAAAACTGAATGAGTGTTAGTTCATGCGTGTTAGCCAACTGTTTGAAATGTTTGCTTTTTTAAGATTTCCAAAAAGGCATCTGTTCAAAAATAATGGAAAAAAATGAGTATTTGGATGAAAATGAGTTCTCAGTTTGACTTTTAATTGTGTGCTCAAAAACTTTTGGGTAAGGGTAAAAGTCTGTATTACAGTAGTCTCAAAAGGGTCTCTTATTCCACACATGCTGTTATTTGTAACTCTGTTACCTGTAAATGTGTTATAAAACTGTTTAGTGTTTAGGCAGGTCAGTGCACTAGTACCCAAACACGCTGTAGCATCTCTTATTTCTGCACCTTCGTCACACCAGTTTCTCTGCTCACCTACTTCTACTTGTTCACACCCAGCCCCCACTAATTAATACCTGACTGGATTTAGATGGATTTCTTCCTTCTCTTACACTTTCCCAAATTCTCCTTAAGAGAACAAATCTTGCTTCCTCTAATATTCCAGTAATAATCCCTTTTACTATTTTCCGATTCATCACATCCTATCTTGTATCAGTTATATTTTTATCTGTATCTCCCATTATACTGTAAGCTCCTATGATAGAATGATGGAAGTTATTCATTCATTCATCTTATTACTAACAATATCTATGCCAGTGCAAGTGTTAACAGATGTCTGTTTAATTGAGTCAAAGTGTTTCCTTTTTGGGAAAAATCAAAATCACAAACATTAATATGTATTAGTTGGAATTAATAACAAGTAATTGAATAGCCATTTTATGGAAGGCAAGGATCAGCACTTATGATGAATTTAATTTATATAATGAGAAAAGATGGTTTACAGCTATCTTCAAAATGTTTCATTCACACTGCTAAGTTAATAAAACATTTCTGATGAATGGTAAAATCTAATGTGTTTTAGAAAACATTTACTTTCGTCACAGCTACTACCAGATGGAACCAGCAAGCTACAGTATCTTATTTTATGCACTTTTTGGTCACAGTATTCTCTTTAGATCTTAAAAAAATTACTTCTCAGGGTATTAAACATAAGGACTTACAGAATTTCTTGAGATCACATATTTTCTTAATAATTTAAAGTCAATTCATCTTCATACCTTTAAAAACCTCTTAAGTTACACATTTAAATATATTTTAATAATCTCTAACAATAAATACATTTTATATTCAAAAGACTGCTACATAAACATTCAATGTTTTCCTTTTAGTTAGGAGATGAATATAGCATAATTAGTTAACATTAAACCCATATTTATTTATTTAATTTACTACTTTACTATTTGACACAAGAGGTATCTGTTACTAACTTCCTCAATATATAAAGTTGTCATACAAAGGCCTACCTACTAGGCATTTAATTTTAATAGAATTAATAATTAAATAATTTAAAAATACTTATAAGCACTATGGTGGAATAAAGAATCCAAAATGTGTTTCAATAATTGAGAAAGATAAAAATATGCCTTAAAACAACATTTCTTAAATAATATTTGTTATAACAATTAATAGCTCTTCATTTTCCACTACAGGTAATGGCCTAGTAGCCTAGCAATCTAAACATTTGCTCATGATACTTGCTCATTATAAGTTCACAATCCAGTCTAATATTTTTACTTCATACAGCAATTAAAATCCAGTTTAAAATGAAAGGTAAATGGTAAGACTGTTCTCCTTGTCTTCACAGCAGCCGTCAGCAAACACAGGCTCACACGCAAAGGGAACAGGCACAGGGACAACAAGGAGTAAGATGAACAGAAGGAGAAACACTAATTTTTAGCCAGCTCAGCTATTTCTGAAAACGATGTTCCTGATATGTGATTTGTGGGGAGGGGAGAAAATTTTAATATGGTGCTTCTTTTCTTCTCCCTGACACTGTGTTTTTTCCATTAGAGTCAAGATTATAATTTGAATCAATTAGCCTTATTCAGAAAATAGTAGTAAGAAAAAGAAATCTGCCTTTATCTGTGTTCAAATTTTCTAAGTTTTCCACATTTCAATTTTTGTGCAACAGATGTCAATACACAAATCTACTAAAAAAATATTTCTTAAAAGCAGATAACCTTATAAAAGTAAATCTGAATTGAATACTTACCTTTATCTGCCAAAAAAGTTTACTTTTAATATATATTAAAACTACTAGAAGCAAAGGAATTAGAAGAGTAAATCTAACAAAAATGATATATAACAAGAAACAAAAAATTAAGGAGAAACAGAAAATGTCAAAAAGATGAAGTATTCAATATCATGTTAAATATTTATCACGTGATTTAAAAAAATTCTGAACGCAAGTTAACCAATTGTCATTCTTTCCCATTTCAAATTGTATTCATAGAATGGATTACCTTGGAGTGTTGCTCTTTTAACTTCACTGTGAGACCCGGCTCATCTTTTTTGCTAGCCATTAGCAATCTAAACATTTGCTCACGATACTTGCTCATTATAAGTTCCAAGGCAGACTGATGTTCTTCAAGGGATGTACGTAATTCTATCAAGAGGAACAGTATATTTTATTCAAACTTTTCTTTTTCATATTATACTTATAAAAGCAACTTATAAAAGAGGGTATTTTAAAAAGAAAACATGATGGCTAGGAATCTAGCTGTATAGCTGTATAGAAATAAAGATACCAAAGGGAGTCCTTTATTCGTTTTTTAAATGACCATTTAAAACTCATTTTTTGAGACACATTTCAACAAACACTTACTGAACAACAATTAGGTATCAGATGATGCTCTGTATTAGGAATACCAAAAGGCCTTGGAGCTCAGGGTATAGTGAGGAAAACAAATATATAAATAATTATACTACGTGATAAGTGCAGAGAGGAGCTCTACTCAAATCTATATTAGAAGTATGTGAGGAGAAACTGGGGAAAGCTTCAGAAAAGCTTGAGATGAACTTGCATTCTATGAGCCAAAAAATAAAGGAAAGGACATTCTAGGCAGGCAGGCATGAAAGCGAATGGTATGTTCAGAAACTAGTTGGGGATGGCAAAAGCAAAGGGGAAGAGAGGTATGGGAAGAAGACAGAAAAGGCCTGGGTTGACTTTGAAGGCCACTGGAAAAGGAATGTCACTTACAGGTTCTGTGACTTTAAGCAAAATGATGCACGAGTATAACAAAATCAATTTTACGAAAGTGTAACTGATATACACAACAGTTGAGTTCCTATGGCATCTCATCAATGTTATAACAAAACAACATTGAACAAACTGATGTTATTTGAGGATCTGCTGTATAAATGAGGGTTCTTAAGCAAAATAATAATATGATCAGATTTTTTAAAAAAGATTTTTAATTTATTTTTTAGAGAGAGAGGAAGGAAGGGAGAGAAATATCGATCGGCCACCTCTTGCATGCCTCTTTCAAGTCCCCAACCCAGGTATGTGTCCTGACCAGGAATCTAACTGGCAACCTTTTGGTCCACAGAGCGATGCCCAACCCACTGAACCACACCAGTCAGGGTTGATCAGATGTAGTTTTGAAAAATCAGTCTGATGCCTGTGTTGAAGATGGACTGCAGGGGAAAAGAGAATGGAATCAGGAGATCAGTTAGGACAGTTCAGGAAGAGACTGCAAACACCCAAGCCGGGGAACAAAGCAGTGGGATCACAGAGAACGAAAATGAGTTATTTCATAGGTGACAACAATGGCACAAACTGGATATTTACAGTGAGGATCTAAGATGACTCCAAGCAAGGTAGACATTCAAATGTAGAACAGGATAACAGGCAATAAATGTGATTTAGAAATACTGGGTTGGCCAAAAAGTTCATTTGGTTTTTCCTGTAAGATGGCTCTAAGTAGCACATTAGTTGTCTTTAACTCCATTTGAAACAATTTTGTTAGATTGTATGGTGACAGCTGTCCTATCAGTGTACGTTAAAAAAAACTTATCAAAATTGGCGAATTTTTTGTAGCCATTTTATATTGAAGATAGAAGAAAATATGCGACATTTTTGGCATATTATGCTTTTTGGGGGGCATATTATGCTTTTACTATTACAACAAAGGTAAAATTGCAACTGAAATGCAAAAAAAAAGATTTGTGTAGTGGATGGAGAGGGTACTGTGACTGATCAAACACATCAGAAGTGCTTTGCAAAGTTTCGTGCTGTAGATTTCTCACTGGATGATGCTCCATGGTCAGGCAGACCAGTCGATGTTGATAGCGATCAAATCAAGACATTAGTTGAGAAAATCAACATTATACCATGTGGGAGAAAGCCAACAAACTCAAAATATCCAAATCAACAAAGTTATTGATGAAAATGAGAAATTTGTCTTTTATTTTACAGAAGTAAATGAACTTTTTTGCCAACCCAGCATGAACTATAGAAGAGATGAGATTAATATCAAAAAGTAAATTTAGTCAATTACTTCCCCATTTTTGACAACATTGATTTTAAGTTGATAGTACAATTGCAGATTAAAGTTCTCTTTTAATTTGCTATACATAATAATAACATATCTTGCCTTTGTTCTCTTGTTGCAATTCCCTGATTTGTCTGTTTTCTTGCTGGATTCCCATAACTAATGTGGACCGTGGCCGATGTCTTGCAACTTCATTAAGTTCTTGAATTTCTTCCTGATACTAATGAAAATATTAAGTAAGAACATGTGGGAAGAAAATATTTGGAAATATAAATCTGAGGCATATATCTGATAAGGGCCTACTATCCATAACAGAGAAAAAACTCTCACAACTGAATGATAGGAAACCACCCCATTAAAACCTGGACAAATAAGTTCAGGGATATAATGTACAGCACACTGAGTTAACAGTATTATATTATGTACTTGAAAGTTGCTAAGAGAGTAGATGGTAAATGTTCTCACCACACACTTGCAAAAGGTAATTAATTATGTGAGGTGAGGGAAATATTAACTAACCTTATATGGAATCACTTCATAATATCCAATTAGCAAATCATCACATTGTTTGCCTTAAACTCACACAATGTTTTATGTCAATTATATGTCAACAGAGATGGAGAAAAACCTGGCAAAGGATTTAAAGAGACATTGCTCTAAAGAAAATATACAAATGGCCATAGCACATGAAAACATGCTTCACATCATTAATCATTAGGGAAATGCAATTCAATACAAGATACTACTTCACAACTTCTAGAATGATTTTAATCAAAGAGACAAGTAATAACAGATGTTGGAGAGAATGTGGAGAAACTGTAACCCTCACATGTTGTTGATGGGAATGTAAAATGTAACTGCTCTGGAAAACAGTCTGGCAGATCCTCAAAAAGTTAAACCAGAGCTATTGTATGACTCATCCATTCCACTCTGAGTTATATACCCAAGATAACTGAGAACACGTCCACACAGAAACTCGTAAATAAGTATTTGCAGCAGCACTGTTTATAATAGTGAAAATACAGAAACAGTCCAAATGTCCATCAGCTGATGACAGGTAGACACAATGTGACAGACCCTCACAATGGAATATCATTTGATAATAAAAAGGGATGAGATGTTGATTTCTGCTATAATATGGATGAACCTTGAAAACACAATGGGTCACAAAAAGCCCCATATTGCATGAAATGTTCAAAATATGCAAATCCATCAAGATAGAAAGATTAGTGATTGCCAGGGGCTGAGGAAAGTAAGATAGAGGCTTTGGGGTGAGAATATTCTGGAATTACGTGATTATGGTTGTACACCTTGTGAATATTCTAAAATAATATTAATATTCCAATAAACTGCATCTTTCAAATAGTAAATTTTATGATATGTAAATTATATCTCAACTTGTGCAAAAGAAATGCAATATTCTTTCTTTTTTTTGTTGTTTTATCCTCACCCAAGGAGCTGCTTATCAATTTTAGAAAGGGGAAAGGAGGGAGAAAGAGAGGGAGAAAAACATTGATGGGAGGGAGAAACATTGATCAGGTGCCTTTTCTGTATGCCCCAACAGCAGGCCGAACCCACAACCCAGGCTTGTGCCCTGACAGGGAATCAAACCTGTGATGTTTTAGTTTGAAGGATGACACCTGACCAACTGAACAATACTGGCCATGGCTGTTTCTTTCTTTTTTTTTTTTTTAATATGTGGGAATCTAACTTTAAAACTGTATGCCTTCATTTTAAGGCATTTGATGAGTCACTTAGTAACAGTCATTATAACATTCATGGTTCTAAATTTGGTTGTCAAACTCCTTTTTTTTTTTTACAACTTAATACCAGATACATGAGGTCTGTCTAGAAATAATCCAGCCACTGGTAATATAATGAGAATGGTTGTGTGACATTGATATAACTTGACAGCCCAGGAAAGTTTACTGTGCTATGATGACTTCACTGTACCAGTTAGTGAGGGCAGTAGACACCATTGAATGAGCATGTGTACTATGTGGCCATTGCAATTCAAAATGATTAAGGGAGTAGGGCAATGAATCTGCATCAAATTTTGCACTAAGTTTGGACATTCCTCCATGGAAATTATTCAGATGATTCAGAAGGCCACAGCTATGGGAAATTGGTGATTGGCAACTTCATCACGACAACATGGCCACTCATGCATCACGTCTCATGTCATTTTTTGGTGAAACATCATATCACCCTAGTGACTCAGCTGCCGTACAGCCCAGATTTGGCACCCTGAAACTTCTGGCTTTTCCCAAAACTAGATTCACCTTTGAAAGGGAAGAGATTTCAGACCATTGATAATATTCAGGAAAATACAACAGGGCAGCTGATAGTGATTGGGAGAACTGTGTGAGGTCCCAAGGTGCCTACTTTGAAGGAGACGGAGGCATCATTATCCTGTGTACAGTGTTTCTTTTCTTTTTATTTTTAAAAGAAATTTTATTGTTCAAATACAGTTTTCTGTTTCTTGTATCTTTTTTATTTGTTTGTTTGTTTATTGTATCTTGTATCTTCTTCAGTAAATGTCTGTTTTTCATATTACATGGCCGGATAGGATCTGGATAGACCTCATCTCTTCACTGGTATGCATGCGACAGCTGCAGAGTTAGGGAGGTATGTAATCTGTTTACGGCAACAGAGTTGCAAAACAAACTAAGTAAACTTGTTCCATTATTTTCAGTAGCTTTGACAGAAGTATTATCCCAGGTTGCTTCCTTTGACAAAATGAATGGTTTCATAAGAATGAGCTATGAATATACATTCCCCTTGACTGATTTCCATGGTAGTATCAGAGACTTTACAATTCTCTTAGAGTTGAAAATTTTCTATCAGAAGAGGGCTTAAATTTTAGCTAAATGCCATAACCCACTGGAAAGTCCTTATGTACAACACCAAGGATAACAAGGAATGAAGCCCTTTTCATATTTTTTAACTGGCAGCATTAAATGTAAAATAAGGCAGCAAGTATAAATGCAGTAACTGCATGAGCTGTAAACTAGTTATTGCCCTGCATTATTTAAAAAAATTTATTGTTAAATAACTTTACCTAAGTACTTTTACAAAGAAAAATATAAACATTTTTATATTATAAAAATATGAGAGGAAAATATGTATCTATATTAGTAAATGACATTATGTTGTCTTTCCCAAATGTATCTAGACTGAATAAATTCATGTATTTTCTAAATGCAAATGTGTGTGTCAGAAAGAAAGTGATCAGGTCTACAGGTTTTACAATATCTATAATATATGTGTGACACGACAAAATTACATTCTATCCTAGAGTAAAGCTGACACATATAAGTCAAACTACTTTTAAATTTTATAGGGTACGTTAAACAAATAAATACTAATTACATAGAAGTTAGTGATTCAAGAAATACATAAATGTCAATGACTGCTTTTTTAAAAACTAGAATCAACAAGAAAGAAAAAACCCAAACCTGCTTCATCGCTTCTACTCGCTTGTTGAGAGCCGTGGTCTGCTCAATCAGAGATTCCGCGGCATCATCGTGATCTCTCAGTCTTTCAACAAGAGCTTTAGCGTCAGCAAGTGCCTTTTCAATTGTGCAACTCATTTCTCAAGGAATACCTATAATTAAAATTAAAATTAAGACTCAAAGCTAGCATGCCATCTTATTTTAGTTTCATATTAACACACACTTCTGGAGCTACATTTGTTACAGGATTGTTCATTCTCTGGGGAGGAAAATCATTTAAGAACACTGGTGGTGTTGCTTCTGTTAGGATGGCAGAAGCTTGAAAGTGAATTTATATTTGAAAATATTAGACAATATACAAGCAATTTGCAGACATAATCAGAATATATGTAAAATACCCTGAATTTATAATAGGGGAAAAGTACACATACAATGAATACACTTTATATTATGCAGAAATTGTGCTCTTCATAAGGGCACTGCCTGTCTTCTCATTTGTGAAAAATGTCACTTTGTTAGTCTGTATTCTGTAGTCAACCTGACTATAAGATCCTTCCTAGCTTCTGCTTAGTCAGGTGACCCAAGACAGTGTTCATAAACACACACTACTGACCAGCTGAAACCGTGTCTATGTGTCATGATAAATCAAGGTGTCAACCTTCTTCTGGTGGAACTTGTTTCTTATATAAAGTTGCATTAATTCTACCCCCGCCACCCACCCACCCACCGGGAAATCACCAGCTTTTTCTCTATATCTATGGGTCTGTTTCTGTTATTTATTCATTTGTTTAGGGGATTTTTTTTTTTAGATTCCACATACAAGTGAAATCATATGATATTTGTTTTCCTCTGTCTGACTCATTTAGAATAATACCCTATAGGTCCATCCATGTTACCTCAAATGGCAAGATTTCACTTTTTATTGTTGAGTAATATTCCATTATATATAAAGGAGTGATACATGTACATCACTTCTTTATATATTTATCTATTGATAGACATCTAGATTGCTTCCATATCTTATTACTAGTAATGCTGCAATGAGCATATAAATTCATATATCTTTCCCAGTTAGTGTTTTGGGGTTTTTTTGTTTGTTTATTTTGATAAATACTCAGATAGAATTGCTGGATTGTATGGCAGCTCTATTTTAATTTTCTAAGGAATCTCCAGACTGTTTTTCCCAGTGGCTGCACTAATTTACAACCCCAGCACAGTGTATAATGGCTCCTTTTTCTCCACATCCTCACCAGCACTTATTGTCTGTCATTTATTGATAGCCATTCTGACAGATGTGATATTTCATTGTGGTTTTTAATTTGCATTTCCCTGATGATTAGTAATGCTAAGTATCTTTTCATGTTTATTGGCCATCTGTATGTCCTCTTCAGAGAAATATCTATTCAGGTCCTTTGCCAATATTTTAGTTGGATTGCTTGTTTTTGTGTGTTAAGTTGTATAAGTTCCTTATGTATTCTGGATACTAACCCCTTATTGGATGTATCATCTGCAAACATCTTCTCCACTCAGTAAGTTGTCTTTTGTTTTGATTGTTTCCTTTGCTGTGCAAAAACTCTAGTTTGCTGTAGCCCCGTGTGTTTAATTTTCTTTTTGCTCTTGCCCAAGGAGACATAGTCAAAAAGATATTGCCAAGAGCAGTATCGAAGAGTTTACTGTCCATGTTATCTTCTAGGAGTTTTATGGTTTCAGGCCTTACTTTAAGTCTTTCATCTAGTTTGAGTTTATTTTTGTGTATGGTGTAAGAAAACGTTCCAATTTTACTTTTTTCATGTGTCTGTCAAGTTTCCCCAACACCACTTACAGAAGAGACCGAGGGATTTGTCTTCTAAAATTGGAGAGGTTTAGATAAGGGTACTTGGAAATAGGATTATCGGAAAAAAAACATTAAAGGAATCAATGTCCCAAACTAAAACACAAAAGGACAACTATCCAAAATTTGTCCAAGATGCTGCTATAAGGGAGACATTAGCCTCCAACAATGCCCTGTCCTTCTCTAAACTTCAAAGGGGAATTAGCTAAAAAAAAAAAAAAGGAGGGGGACAGTGGGTGGAGCAAACTGGCTTGCAATAAGTAAAAAATAAAGTAAAAACAGAAAATATATTTGTTTTACAATCAAAATAACTGGTCGTAACAGATGCTGTAAGAAAATGATTTAAGAAACTTAATTTGAAAGTCTAGAGAAAATTGTAAAAGACTTGAGATAGATACAGTTTATCTTGGTTTAATAGAACAACTCAAGTACCAAAAATCTCTAACAATCCCAGGTCTTAATCTGTAAATGATATTATTGGGGCCACTATCAGAAGAATACTTATTTATGCTCGGTAACACAACATCTACAAGTTTAATAAAAGGATCTGTTTTCAAATAAAATTCACTAAGGCTGCTATATATGGTCAGATGTTAAGTGATTTAGACATGACCTATGGTGTATAAAATTCAGTAAGCTACAAAAACAAACAAAAAAACTATGCTTCCAGAATCTTCTGGGCAAAAGAATCCATAGGCATAGATTAACTGGAACTGAGCCCTGAATCAAGATGAAGCCTTCCTAGATAATCATACATCTTTCTCGTTTTTGAAGTATGAAGAGGCTATGCTGTGTTCTGGGGATATTAGTTGAACGACATTGCACCTAAGACCCACTGTCTATTAAATCCTAAGCCTTAATTCAGTAGCTAAGGATTAGCCTCCTTCTCTCAGTAATGGACCTCCACTAAATCATCTTAGAACTTATACAAGGTCTTTTAGCCTAATGTTACCACATGCAGCAAATCCCTATTGCTAAAGGAAACCACTCTAAAATTTCTCCTAGCTGAATAATTATGAACTATTGTTCCTTTCTCCTTTCATATTACCACCCACTGGAGTAACACTGTTACTCCAAAAATCCTACCTATTAAAAGAAAACCTTATGATTGTGTTTCCATAGATCGGGAGGTGCCCAAGGCCAAATTTTGAATTTTCTAGTACCAAATCATGACTTTATTGTCTGTTAGTGAATTTTATTTTTTAAATTTATTTACTGACAAGAGAGAGCAAAAATGAGTGAGCAAGCGATAGAAAGAGAGAGAGAGAGAGAGAGATCAATTTGTTGTTCCACTTATCTATGCAATCATTGGTTGTTTCTTGTGCGTGCCCTGACCAGGGATCAAACAAGCAACCTCAGTGTATCTACCCAACTGAGCTACCTGGCCAGGGCATGTTAATGACTTTTATACTAAACACAAAAGGTGACAACAGATACTTCAGTCACTCTGATAAAATTAAATTTCTTATGAGAGGCCAAATTGATCAAATGACTTAACTGTGGCCTTCTTAGAGCAACTTGCTAAAATAAGAGAAAATTTATGCACTAATAGTTGGATCATTTTGGGAACAAATCACTTCTTTGAAATGTTGCGAAGAAAAAACATTCCTCAGATATCCCTTAAAAACAACAAATACATTACTTGATGGCCGGATGCTACCTAAAACAATAAAGGCAGAGACACAGAATAAAAAAGATACTATACAAGATAATTTACTATACTATAGATACCATGAAGCTATTTTAAAATACTCTATAAAAAGATTGCTTTGACTAAAAGTCTTTATGCAAGGGCCTCATATAATACAAGAAAATCATAAAAAATCCATGGAGAAGTTAAAAAATTCCATCAGATACACAAAATCTGGCCTGACAAATTCCATAAAGAAACATGGGGTGACCAAGTTGTAAAATCCATGAGATAAGAGCTGCCACTATCAGAATGGCTACCTGATAGCACCAGATAAAACCTCAAATGGACACAAGAAATTCCATGAAACCTCTCGTATCAGCTGGAAAAAAATTAGCCACAATATTAAATACTGATTGGAGAATGTGATGGATAGCAAAGGTTGTGACCCAGTGTATACCTTATTATTTGTGAATAAATAAATCTGAAAAATTGTGAAGCTGAAGCAAGGGCTAAAACCATTCTTAAAAGATTTTTCTAACATCTTCCACTGGATTTAATAGAGTACCCGCTCTCTATGGTTTAAGAATATGCAATGTTCCTAAATATACTGATAATATACTAGTATGTTTCTCTTATGGATGGCTTGAAAAAGTCCTCTGTTAAAAAGCCATAATAAAATGGGGACAACTATAACTAAACAATAAAAAAATAAAAGTTTAAAAAAAGAAAGAAAAGAAAAGCCATAATACTTACAATGGTTAAAATACTATTATACTTTGTGTCTCCTACCAAGGACATTCTAAATTATTGATCAAGTAATACAAAAATATATTTAACTAGAACAATTATTATTTTTTCTTTGTCTTTTTCATTTTTTTAATCCTCATCTGAAGATATGGTTATGGATTTTAGAAAGAGAGGAAGGGAGAAAGAGAAACACTGATGTGAGAAAGAAACATTGATTGATCTTTGGCGCCAGACTAGGGATCTAACCCACAACCTCGGTGTGTGCCCTGACTAGAAATCAGACCTGCAAACTTTTTGTGTAGGGGATGATGCTCTAACCAACTAAGCCACCAGCCAGAGCTGGAACAATTCTTTTATGAATTTAAAGTATGCAACATTTTGCCTCTTTCTTGGGAATTTGCCTGTTTTTATTATTCCCAGACCTCAGCAAATCCCAAAAGGGATAAATCCAAGAAGGTGCAATTCAGACACATCATAACCAAATTTCTGAAAACTGGAGACAAATAAAAACCTAGAAAGGCCGGTAGAGAGTAGAACTTAAAGAGCTGAAAAAACAACTGTCGACCTGGAATCCTGTATCCAACAAAAATTGCCTTTACATAAGAAGGTGAAATAAGAATCAGTCTCAGATGAAGAAAAAAATCAATTCATTTCTAGATTTGTTTTAAAAGAAATTCTCCAGAGACAGGCGAAATGATATCAGAAGGAAACTTAGAACATTCAAAATCAAGGAAGAATAACGAAAATTGTAAATATCTAGGCAAATATAGTAAACTATTTTCTTCATGAGTACTTTAAAACACCAGATGTTTGAAAAAAGGAACTATAAATTTTGTCTGATAAAATTTCCAATTTATGTAAATATAACTACAACATAAAGGCAGGAGGTTAGGTGGACCTATATAGTAATAAAGTTTCAACATTTCACTTGAAATTATAAA